GGAGTTTCTTTTTAAGTGATGAAAATGTTCTGGAATGAGATGGTGGTAATAGTTGCATAGTCTTGTTAATATTTTTAAAGCCCCTGAATTGTACACTTTAAAGTGGTGAATTTTATGGTATGTGAATTACATCTCAATTTTAAAAAGAAAAAACAGCCTAGAACAATGGCACAAATCCAGGGGTGATATAAAAACTCTTGAAATTGTGTCGTTCCTACATGTGAGACACAAATCAGGCTCTGAGTTTCCTGGGAGCCAGTGCAAAAGGGAAGTCGAGTTAGTTATCTAATCCCTAGTGTCTGTGAGACAAAAATTAGCTTATGGTGCAAAAAGTTCAGCAGTGTCTCCTGGGGTTGAGACCCATGCAGACTTTTCCTGGATATCTCATAAAGGGGCAGCCTGCAGTGCTGGGGATGATGCTTTCAGCAGGCCCCCCACAGTACAGCAGTGAGCTCCATCTCTCTGCCTGGGAGGGAGCTGCCTCTGGGGATGCAGCACCTGCTCCTATAGCACCTATCCTCGAAGGCAGCAGCCGCCCCTCCCAGGACTTCCCTTCCCAGAGAGGTGCCAGGTCAACCATGAGGTATGACACAGCCACTGGGATAGAAGGGGCATGGCCTTTTGCAGAGTGTTGGTGACAAAGCTCTCTCATGCACAAAGGTGTCCCGGCGGCCTGGATTACTGAGGCCTGACTTTCTTGCTTCTAAATGGAATCTCCCTCTCAGGCCAGGCCAGTCCCTGAATCAGGGAAGGTCAAAGGTTATAGGGAAGGGCCAGCTATGCCCACAAGGTGCCCATCCTCAGGCCGTGAGGCTGGGGAACATCAATCCCTGCTACATGAGGCCTTCTGGTGCCTCTCACTCCCACATGCACCTCTCACTCCTGACTAGCAAGATGATCTCTCTTACCCACAGGGGAAGCCTTGGGTATCAAGTACCCGGTCCAGGTCCCCTATAAGCGGATCAAGAGTAACCCTGGCTCTGTGATCATCGAGGGGCTACCCCCAGGAATCCCGTTCCGAAAGCCCTGCACCTTTGGCTCCCAGAACCTGGAGAGGATCCTTGCTGTGGCTGACAAGATCAAGTTCACAGTCACCAGGTACTCAGGGAAGGGTGAAAGTGAGGAGGTAGGACTAACACAGACTGGGGCTTGTACGTAAGGTCCTGCCCTCCCAGCTAGAAGAGGTGGCCTTCCTGCCAGCATCCTGGGTCCAGGCAGGATCACAGAGGGACTGCAGGCTAGCTGGATTATATAAAGCCTGACAGACGTGGGACTGGATACCCCACCGTGGCAAGCAAGGGCAGCCCTGTGGGTACCTTCTGCTGTCTAGCAGCCCCTGTTCACTGTGTTCCTGACCCCCAAGAGAGGCTCTAGTCACATATCAGCGAAGAGGAACTTGAGACAAGTGATTCACCTGAGGTCATAGGCTAGCCAGGGCAGAGCCCATGCAAGCCCTGTTACCCTCCTGTGAGGGGGGCATTGCTAGTACTGGTGCCCTACTGCATTGGCCCCACATCCCATGCACACAGGTCACCTGAGCTTCTCGTTAAAAGGTAGACTCTTGGGTTGTGAAGTGTAAGCTTAGGTCTCTGACAGAATGGTAAAAATAAAAAGTAAATAAAATGGAGACTCCGCTGCAGTAGGTCTGCAGCTCCCACATTAGGCCTGTGCTGCTACATCCCAGGGGTGGCTGCCCCATCCCCGACTTTTCCCTCTGACACCCCCACCTCTCTTTCTGTTCTAGGCCTTTCCAAGGACTCATCCCAAAGCCTGGTAAGAGGTACTGGGTGTGGGAGGCTGCTGGGCATGGGGCCTGGCCACAGTGCTCAGGGCCAGAGGCCAAAGTGAGCCCACTGTGGGACACAGGTTTGGGGCCTGGCAACAGAAGCCAGGCCTCTGGCCTGCTGTTCTCCTGCCTCACCTGGGCACCTGCCCCAGGTAGATGGCAGAAACCCAAGCTGGAACCTGGCCCTGGGTCCTTGGTCAGAAAAGGGAATGGTGGAACCAGTGACTTCTTAGCTTTACCTAGTCCAGAGTTAGGAGGGAGGGGCTGGGCTGGGTCAGTGCTCCCACTTATTCTGGTGCAGGGGCCTGGGTGACCTCAGGGAATAGGTGAGGCTGGTGGCAGCTGGGTTCTTAACCACAGAGGGAA